CTTATCCTGACGTTATGATTTTGGATCACTGTTGACAAAATATTCTTGATTCTTACTGATCACAAACAGTTGTAGTTCCTCTTTGTTACCACAAGAGGGAGACAATGAACAAAGTATAGATAGAAAGTGATTTGTGTCAGATTGGCACATTCTGGGGTTTATATGGGGCAAAAATGAAGGATTTCAGACCTTTTCAGATAATATTTGACTCAACTTGCAGAAAAAAATATTCAGCATGTTTCAACATTGCCTAAAGTGACTGGTTCTATCTTTTTTCTCCCACACAGACCAGTCAGGACATCTGCTGTGTGGTTTTTGCCCTTTTCAATGTGGTCTGGGCAACTTTGTTTCTGGAGCGCTGGAAGCGGCGAGAAGCAGAGCTGTCCTACAGGTGGGGAACCCTGGACACCCCCGCCGAGTCCTTGGAGGAGCCCAGACCACAGTTCAGGGTGAGAAGTCCTCACAGAGAGAGGAACAAAGCTTTGCTATCAGCAGGGGATCAAGCTGGAGGGATTTTTTTCCTTTTATTGGGGAAAGCAGGGAGTATTTTTTCTTCTTTTTTTTTGCAGATTTTAGTTTAAATTTTTTTTTTTTTCAAATATTCTCCTTTTCAGACCGAGTTTTGTGAGTTGCTTTTTTTTTTTTTCAAAATGTGGTTTACAGATCACAAATCCAATTGCAGTCTAATACAGAATACTAGTGTTGTTGCTAACTCCCATGCAGACCAGTAGAAATGCGTCTTCACATTCTCTCCAGAGAGAATTTGATCTGAAAAAACAGAATTGGAAAAGATAAATTAATGAAACTAAGTTAGAAAATGAGTAGAAGAAAAAAACAGTTAAAACAATAAAATCTAAAATAATAATCTGAGAAAACAGCAAAGTTTCTCTTTTTTTGAGTAAGAAGTTTTTTCATTTTTAGTACTAAATTCCTTATTCTTCAAAAAAAAAAACGTTTTCATTTCATTTCTAAATTTTCCTTTTAAATTTTCATTTTATTTGCAACAATTTACTCCATAGAGTTGGAGACCTTTCAGTGAAATATTTTTCCGGTCTCTTCTTCTTCTTCTCGTTGTGTTTTATGGCGGATGGCAAACTAGTTAAATTGAATTACCGCCACCAACGGATAAGAAGTTAAATGAGGAAACAGGAAAAGAAGACTCACCCNATTTTCCTTTTAAATTTTCATTTTATTTGCAACAATTTACTCCATAGAGTTGGAGACCTTTCAGTGAAATATTTTTCCCGTCTCTTCTTCTTCTTCTCGTTGTGTTTTATGGCGGATGGCAAACTAGTGAAATTGAATTACCGCCACCAATGGATAAGAAGTTAAATGAGGAAACAGGAAAAGAAGACTCACCCCCAGAAAATAAATAATACAAATTTTTGTATATAATTCGTCCTCATAATTACTAATTTGTCTTTATGCTTATGTCACTGTGCCAGTTTCTGATGGTCCTACTCGTTTTCCTATCATACTCTCAACCATTTTCCAGTTTAATCTCTCACTTCAACATACTTTTATGCAGCTTTCGTCTGAGCACTATAATTGATCACTTCTATCATGAAAAAAACAAAATCTTTCTTCTTTACAATCAATAAATCTTCAATTTTGGGACATTGCTCCAGAGGTTTTGCACTTTTCATTTGCTGACCTCTTGGTTTGGGTTTTTCTGACTGGGATGGGATCCTTTTTGCAGCTTCAGCGTCACTATTTCTGAGCTCCGATTTCACTTTTCTGATCTCTTTGGATCTTTTGCTCTCTTCACAACTGCCATAAGCAGCAGTATGTTCTACACCACAGTTACAGCATCTAATCTTTACTTCTTTACCATATTTTCCATATTCATTCTCTCCAGCACACCTTCCACATCGTTGTCCTTACATACAGCTGCTATGTGACCAAATTTTTGGCCTTTAAAACATCTCAGGGGCCGAGGATTGGATATTTGGACACAGTAGCTCATACATCCAAGGAAAACTTTACTCTGTCAATGCTCTTCTTGAACTTTGATCAACACTGATAAGCTGTCACACCTCTCTCCATTTCTTGCCGTTTTTAACCGTTTGTCTTCTTTTACTTTTGCTCCACTTATGTTTTCTAGAATCTTTTGTCACTTTTAGATGCGCGCCTCCAATTAGTCCCCTGCTGATCCTTTTGTTCTCCAGCAAACTGCTCTGAGCTCTTTGTTTTCCCGTCTCTGATGAGCTTCACTCCTCTTGTTTAGTTTATCAGCAGGAACCATGTGCTCTGAGAGCAGGGGGGAGGGGCAGCTCATGGCGTGCACCGCATGTGGAGAAGCTGAGCTCAGGGAGGGGCTGAGATCATTAAGACTCTCACAGGCTGGTGTTTCCAAGCCCGGCTAGCTCAGTCGGTAGAGCATGAGACTCTTAATCTCAGGGTCGTGGGTTCGAGCCCCACGTTGGGCGCTGCTTTTTGTAAAGTGAAACAGAGCTCTCACTGTAGTTCTCACAAAACTCATGATTGATTGATTGAATTTATTGATCTCACAGTTGTGAAATTTATTTGTTACATCGGCTCAAATAGTCAAACAAGAACGATGTCCCAACCAAAGAAAAATATGCATATCTATAGTATATACTGTGCGTCCACATATAAGTTTTTTTTTTATATAGTAGTATCATTATACAGGGTTATTGCACAGGGTATTTATATAGATGGATATTTATATTTATTTATAGTTATTAGGGATGCACGATATTGGGATTTTGGGCGATATCCGATATTTTAAAACTCATGTAGCCGATAACCGATATCGATACCGATGTTAAAGCTGGACAAAAATAAG